GTGTGGAACGCGCGACCGAAGCGCTCTTCGCGAAGTCTGAACGCGGCCTAAACTTTCTGACGTAGCCACGGTGACTTAAGGGCACAGTGTACGATAACCAAAGACGGGGACGTTCTCCAGACATTAGAAGCACATGCACACAGTCGATAAATGTGACGTCAGACGGTCGTGACGTAGCGAGTCCTCCGCCCTAAGTCCGAGTCTCCGCCCACTGCACACCCCTGTGTTACGACGAATGGTGCGACTAACTTTTGCGCTTTTTCAACTGACTGCGGCCAATGCGCGAAAACTGGTAGCACCATTACTAAACTGTTGCAGTTGGCGCCGGGCTACTAGAATGGTGGATGAGAAATGTATGAACAAAACGTTGACACTCATAGGTGCGTTCGTTGTTCCACAACTGCTGGTGATTCTAGAACTGGCTACATCTTCTAACAATTTGCACAATCGCTGTGCTACAGCCAACAGGAAGAACGCATCCGAGCTTCAGCAAACTCGCCCAACTCTCAAAAATAAATGATTGCATTTGGGGCGTTTTCGACGATTTTCTCCAGATTTGTTACCAGGCACCCGTTGGGCTGCTTTCACACTTTGCGGCAGCGTCCACCAGCGTTCCGAGCGTCCGGCAGCGTCAGCGACTAGGAAAGTATAGATATCGACCTAGCGTCTGCCAGCGTCCTCTAGCGTCTACCAGCGTACGCCAGCGTCTATAAGCGTCCGTAAGCGTCTCGAGGGCTAGGGATGTATAGGTATTGATCTAGCGTCTCCCAGAGTGCATAAACGTCTACCAGCGACCGGAAGATGAGAGCATGGCGCCACAGGAGGGTAAGACAGCGGTACTACCCCATCTCCCCATACTCTACCAGCTGTCTTCTACCCTCCTATCGCGCCATACTCTCCTCCCTTGGACGCTGGTAGATGCTAGTGCACGCTGGCAGACGCTAGATGGTTACCTATACTTCCCTAGCCCTTGTGACGCTGGTGGACGCTGGGAGATCGATATCTATTCTTTCCTAGTCGCTGACGCTGCCGGACGCTCGGAACGCCGGTGGTCGCTATTGGTCGCCATTGGACGCTGCCGCAAAGTATGAGCGCGGCCTTAGCACCTGATCGTCAACATTTGAACGTCATTTTTTCCTTCTTGTCATCGTACACTGTGCCTTCAAGCAAAGCAAAATCTGTTCATTGTAGAAAATGAAGCAGCTCTGATTCTGCTGCTAATTTCAGCGGATAAAGCTAAACCTCCTACAATGCTGTGAACATACCTCTTTGATCATGAGCATTAGATCGAAGAGAGTGGCTCTCATGTTCCACATGTTCATCACAGCTAGCAACTTATCAATCAAAGCCTTTTTCGAATTTCCATTGCAAACAGATAGTTCACGTAAAACTTCACGCTCACTTCGTCGACGGATACCTAATCGCAGCAATTGTTGACCCTGAAAGCAAAGTTTGGAAAAAAATGTAGGAAAGAAGGACTGATATCTTGTTTACTGGCGTATTAGGAAAAAGTAAACAAAAATTCACAAAAGCAACTGCTATCTTGTTTACCGGCGAGTGAGGAAAGAAAAACAAGTCCAGAAAGTAACAAAGCAACTGCTATCTTGCATACCGGCGAGTTAAGAGTAAAGCAAACCCGAAAAAAATTACGAAAGTCCAAAAGTTCCAAAAACGATTTACTAGACAGTTCTGCTTTAACCGATCGTGATTGAACGCTTCCATTCGGTTGGTCTCCACAATGCGGAACATCTTCAGCGTTACCCAGTCTTCTTCACAAATAATTGACTGCGTTGCCTTCAGCATTATCATAAGGTATTCTCTTCGATAATTGGTAGAATCAATGATTCGACTTGGTTCGAAACTAAACGTAATCAATCTCTCGATCAATATATCGATTGGGTGGGCGAGTAAAGCAAG